ATAGTCAGTATTACTTACGGAAATCATACATCATATAGAAAGACTAACTATCTAAGTACATGTATTTGAATACATCTGAAAGGTATTTAAAAATAGCTTCAAACCTAACTACGAACATTTTTGTGTAATAAGGTAAATAGAATAAACTGTAATTGTGGTACGTTTTGTATAAAATAGATACGGTACACTTGATAAAGTTGGTATCAAACTACAATTTTTTTTATATTTGTATTTCAGTCGATCTTCAAGATGATTACCTTTTAAGAAATCTATTAAGAGATGATAAATCATTAACTAATTTCCTTAAATTATCTTGTTTATTAAATTCAATGACAATAATAATGATAATAATAATAGTAATAGTTTATATCTATTATGAGATGCAATTATAAGTAATACCTAATGTTTTAATCATATTTTTCACTTACGGATATTCACTCTACTTACATTATACTTACATGGTAGAACCAAAAGCATACAATTTTGTTCGTAGCTAGGTCGATTTTTTTTAATAGATATTATTTGAGAATGTTTCTTTTCAATTAAGGAAAAAATTGAAGAGAATGAAGTTAAATGTTGACAAAACACAGATAATAACTTTTTAATTCGACCTTAATGTTAAGTAATTTTTTCCTCTTTAAATTAAACATTTTTTTCTTCGTAAAACGTTTTAGATGAGAAAGAGAAAACTTCTGGAGCAATTTTAGTTAAACAAAGATTCACTGGACTAAAAAAGCTTCCTTAATGAAGTGGTTGGTTTTGTCTTTATATTTTAGTATGGTCTTACACACCGAAATGAAATATGGTGTTTTAAAATGTTATAGTTCAACTGATCGATTTGGGCATTGGTCTAAGTTGTACAACGACACGTTCATAATGTTCATCAACACACAGTATCTGGCACTCAGATTCAAGCAGATCTGCGAAGGTTACTTTTCACTGATCAAGTTATTTAACTGAAATCGATCTTCTTTTTATCCTGTTTTCTATAACTTTTCATTGAAAATATTTTAGTTAACTTACACTGCAGAGAAATATCATTGTGATTGAAATCATTTACAACTAATCTATCCTTTGTCAATAGTACCAAGGTTTCGCCCCGTATATCCTTATTTTGCTAAATCAAGTCTTAAAATGTGGATATATATCATGTCATCTTGGCGCAAAATGTTCAATAATTCTATTAAGAAAACTTTTAAGATTTCGGTAGTAGCCATGTGAAAGTCGACGTATGCGTAGATAATCATTGATATTTTTTTCGTTCACAGAAAAGCCACTTATATAACAGAAGATTAATTCAACTAAACGTTTACATAAGAAACAGTTTTTTTTAAATATTAATCACATACTAGGCTGTAAAAACTTAGAGGATAAAACATTTGTGTTTTATAAACGAATTAACTTAGTCTTTGCATTTTTGTAATTAAAAGTTTGTATCATGACGATGCAAATCTTTAATAACTATCCTTTTTTGTACAGTCGATGGTCGTAAATGATTTGACTTACGGTTTACTGATGCGCTCCCATAAAAACGAATTATTGCTGTCAAAGACTAGGGTGAATAGATGTCATGGTGTGAAACTATTAAGTGTAGGCGAAAATCATTACTTTCTTGACAAAACATGCTTATATACAGAGATACCGAATCATAGAATAAGCGTCATCTAAATAGACTGAATTCGTAAATGATAGTAGGATGTAGGAATTTTTGGGTCATTCAGCATACGACAGAAATGAGGGCTAACCTGTAAGCTTAAATGTTTGTCAATCATGTCGTTTTGTTTATAATTTAAAAATATTTTATGGAAGAGATGACAATATAGAATGGAAAACCTAGAAGATGTGTGACTGACAATACTGTGAATGATCAATCCTGGATTAGTGAGTAAAGGATGAGAAAATGTTTGTACAGCATTTCTCTGATATTGGAAACTAAATAGTGTGATATGAATGCAATTCTAACAACACATCTAACGATAGCCTAATGGCACATCAAATGGAACTATTCATTAAAATCCCGCTATCCATTATAATCGGCATTTCAGTATAATATAAAAATTCTAACACGAAATTGTGAGCGCATCACATTAAACTAGTATGAACCATTTGTTCCACCAAAGTTTTTTATTGTTTTTACGATTGAATTTGGCTTTTCGATCAAATTATTTTCAATAAAAGTCTTGTATTTAGGAAAATTATTTGTTTGAAATTGCATGATTGTTGACATATTTCGCCATATATGACCAGCGATTGAATAATCAATGACATTCTTATACTCTTGGCAGTTTCACTTTCCTTAAAAGCATGGTATGTGATTTATGGCTCATGATGTGAACTTCAAACTTCTAATTAGTTTCAGTTTAGCTTGGTTGATCAGACAAAATCGGGTATTATGCAATAAGCAGGCGATGTAATCGGTCGCTGATACATGCTACAGTTGATGTAACTAGTTGTTTATATTGATAGTCATTATTACAAAATAATGTATTCTTTGCGTGCTTAAAAATCTATTCGTTGCTTAATGTTGCTTATTGCATTCCCATGAATGTTAACCCATAAAATACTAACAATCAAAGAAATTTTATACTTTACAAAAAATTTTTAGTAGTTGATGAAAAAAATTAACAAATTATTCAATCGAATTCAATATTTGGCGTAGTATGAAAATAGGAAATTAAACACAATTACACAAATGTTTAAATTAACATTTAAATTATTCAACTGGGAGATTCATAATAAAAATTGATTAATTAATTGAGGATGAAAATTAAAGAAATAAACAAACTAGTTAACTGAATAAATGAATAATAAATCGTGTCGAGATTTTAAATTTCTTTCTGGATCGTTTCCATAGATAACGCTTTACCGGTGTAAACAAAGAATGCTAAATATAACAGAGACAAAAGGATACTTTGTAATGAAGTATTTTAACTTATTTATTCGGCTGTTCTGTTGAATGAAAAATGAACTAGAGTGCACTGATTAAGGAAAAAGACTTACTGTTAGGTTTAATAGTGTTTTAAATGAAAATGAATTATTGGTCATTTAATTGCATTTCAATTAATTTCTCATTATTAATAGAAACGTTTTATGTTAAGACTAATTTGTATTTTCCAACTGTCTTAATCATCATTACAATACTGCACTAAATAAAAATCTGTAAACAGTCATTAATTCGAAATTTCGACATGAATCATTTTTTGTCATTCATATTTGTGGTATTAATTTATAGCAAATGAAGTCTGTGGTTGACAAAACTCAGTTGTATGATGTACCGATATTCATTATTTCAGTATAAACCTTACATTTTTGCTAGATCGGCGTATAAAACAGTAAACTTTCATCAATCCAAAAGTTTTAACTTTTACCTACCCAGTTTTTCTAAATCATGATTTGTACAATTGAAATTTTCAGGGACAAATACTAAACTATACAGTCCAGGAAGCATATTCTGATTAGCCTTTTTTTACTGCCTACCATAAGTAATATTAGTGTAAGCCTTACTGCCTATGTAGCTTACTAATTTGCAACAACTTCGAAAGACTGACGCTTAAAAAAAATTACTGAATAAATATTTCAGCTGTCAATGCTTTGAGAATATGTTTTTTTGTGAAAACATTGACCTCACAAGCAAAGTGTTTGATAAACGTTTGGGTGAAAATTTTAAAACATATTTTTAACGCTTAAATCAACTCATATTGGCTAACTCGCAAATCTATCTACTGATATCTAAAAATTCAGGGGATCTACAGAACTGGACATATTTTCGTCTCGATTCTTTTTCTCAATCGTTCTTGTTTTGTTGTACGTTTCCATAGTATCCACTAGTGACATAAAGCAAATTGGTGCTCATTTGTAGCTTTCTCTGACACATTAACTAAATGTACTTCTGGTTAGATCCAGAATTAAGTTATATGAACAGCATCAGGAATTGATTATGTAAATATGAGAACTTTTTTGATACATAATCAACGAGTGTTAGCCATGTACCCGTAGGTCTTGATGGTCGTATCAGCACTCCAATAATAATGATATTCAGGTAGTGAGTTCTTCTTGAACTGATGTTAGTAAAATATTGTTGAAAAAATTCGGAAAACGGACACTACTCCGTTTTAAAATGAAATTACAATTTAAGTAGTATATAAACAGTTTGTTGAACAATCATTATGACGCAATAAAATTAGTTTTGTTTAAAAATTGTCACTCTAGATGTTCAGGAATATGGCACGGGAGATCTAAATGTCCATTGAATATCTGCAACATCATCAGAACCAGTTTGTAAACAAAGTACACCTTTAACTCAAATGTACCTAAAGTTCATAAATTAACTTTGAGAAACGAAAGGTAGAAAGCCTGAAGTGATAATGCTTTCCGGCATTGATTCCAAGGCTTTGCATTGAAAAGAAGGTGGTCCGTTTGCTTTGTGAAGAAAAAAAGCAGATTACTAATGATCATTCAGGATGCGTAACAATTAAACAGAAAACAGCATAAACTTACACTCTATTTCAAAGGAACTCAACGGAATATAAGTGAACTGAAGTGTTTACTTCCTCCCTTCGGTAGTTCAAAAACGTTGATAACATTTTAAGTTATTTTTGATGCAACTTCGTAATTTGGTACAGACTACAGTACGCCAACATGTGTCATATATGATGAAATAACTGCTGATCTTCCACATTTGCCTAATCTAAAGAAGTTGGACTGTTAATGAAACCAACCACCCAGTACCTTATATTCAAGTATTTTTACTTCAATTCTATCAGTAATGAAATGTTCATTAGCATAATATTCTTCCCGGCGAACGGTCTACCAATAAAGCTATGATATACTACATTTATAGTCAGACAAACGATCACATTTCATGTTAGACAGAGTAGACTGAAAAATTTACATAAAAACGATCAACTACTGATTTTAATCGTAAACCCCAAGATTCAGTTAATCATCCTGATATATATATATAGTCATATATAGTCATATTTGCGTTTAAATTTATGATCTTACTATTTTTTTGGTTGAAATTTCTACTTGGTCTCAGTCAACTATTAAAATGCAGTTCAAATTTCAACTGCTTCGCTTATTTTGTTTTCTTCTACCAGAGCTAATTATTAAACGTGAATGTTGCTAAAATCAAATAACTAAATATCTTGCAAAGAAAAACTGGCGATTGTTCTTATAGATTGAAATGAAGATAAGTATCATGAAAAAAAGAATCAAAGAAGACGAAGTGTCTATGAAAAAAAGGTAATGAAAAGAGTAGTAGGAAGAGAATTTGAAATGGTTTTTTTTTCATGTCATTTATTATACAGATTCTAATAAAAAATTGAAAACTATTAAACAATCTATCTGTGGTTTTTAAATATTTATATATATTGAAGAGAATTCTGTTTTCGGTTAATTCATTTAGAAAGGGTATGTATCAGTGACATTATAGAAAAATGAGTTGTTTCATTACTCGTTGCTGAATAAAATTAATTGTGTCAGATGTTATAATATTAATAGTATTAGTAATAGTAGTAGTAATAATAATAATTTAAAAATGACCTAAAATAACTGACTCACAGAATGATTACATGTGATTTATATTTTTTTGAATGGTAAGGCGTGTAAACAAAACATCTCTAAAAGTCTGTGTATGTTCGGTTAAAGGTACATGCCTGAAGGGTCTTCTGTGGAATTTATCTGAAACATTGCAAAAATTGTATTTTTTTCTTGAATAATCGGAATTGTTTGAGCGTTTCTGATGGATTACTTTGTTACGGTCGGGTAATTTGGTTTCACAATAAGGGTAAAACTCAATATAAGTAGGGATTGGGGTAAATTCAGCATGTTCATGTTATTGTGTGAAGTATTTTGATGTTGTTTTTTATTACCCGACCAGACTATTACTATACGGCGTTGGTTCCTCGATTGACATTCTCCAAAAATCGGTTGATGTCTTCTTCAGTGCCAGTTATTTTGGCGTGTCTATAATTACTCCATAAAGTTGCTGTCACATCTAATGCAATTAAATCACTGGAAACCCTAGAAACAACTTGTAGTATTAGTACACCATCTGGACCAAGATTATAATTTACGAATCGTGTACAATCTCTTTCTTCAGTATTAGAAAGTTGTCGAATAGCTCGAATATATTGTTTTATATAAGCTATTCGTCTAACTGGTACAAGTGTATTGAAAGCCCATTGAAGTGTACTTAATATGGTAACGATTGAAAGAATCACAAACCAAAACCATAGAAAGACATATACCTTTTCCACAAAATAATTAATTGGTAATACACATTGAAGAGTGTAGCTGTAAAAAAAGAAAACAGAGAGAATTTAACTAGTAACAGAAAATAACAATAAAACAAACAAATTTTAGTACAAAGTTAATGATTATTTAGAAATAATGTTTCGTGTAAACGTGACTTGAACATCAAGATAGTTATCAACTCACTGTAAATTTTGCCACATTTTAATTTTAGCAACTAATTTGAAAGATGTGTTGTTAAATGGATACTTACATAATGAATGGAACTCAACAGAAAGCTAGGTATTCTAATTTATTGTGGGACGGCGCAAATAAATGAAAATGAGACAGTTTGAAAGCTATTCTCCAGAAATTTATTATGTATGATTTGACTGCAAATTTTTAATCATTTGTTTTTTGAAGTATACTTGTTATTCACTTTGTAAAGTGCTATTTGACGTATTTACCATTAAAATCTTTTTTCAACTTCTGTAAATTACAGTCACTTAACCTGTTTGTGCTACAGATGTTTTAGTTAGTTAAAAATTGAAATATTTATGGTGCATTATGATCGTATATTTATTACATATAATAGTAAAGATTTAGCGTTTGAGCAATAAGGATTGGTACGAAACACTTGCCGCGTCATATCGGCATTCGGATTTTTAATTTGGGTAGGGCTAACAGGATGGAATATTCAGTAGCATATCTATCATTCGATATATGTGTCATTGGACGCGCTGTCAGTGAAAAAATAGGGAAGAAATCAATCAAACAACAAGATCAATAAGTCGCTTGTTATGTACTGGGAAAAACCATTACGTTAATTCGTTGATAGAACAAATTTAAGCCGACGGTCAAAAGGTGATTACCTTCAACTCTGATGATTCAAATGGTAGTTTTGAAGTAGAAGTAAAATGATAATAATCATTCCTCTAACAGATGCCTTTACTAGTTTGTCTGATGATGTATAATTATAAATATCAGCCAATATACATTAATCACTTCTAAAGGTTGTGGATCTCATTTCATAAGAGTAAAGAGAACAAAAGTGAATCAACTGGACAAACTGTAAATTTATCGTATTTCTCAAGTACTTAACTGATTCAAATATTGATTAAATCAATAAATATATTTTTAGCTAAAATTAAAATTATTTTATGTGCTTCCTGAGAATTAATTGCATTTTCTGAATACAAACACACAACAAAAAGTATTAAGGCACTGAATTTTACAAGTTGTTTAAAAATGTCATATTTGTTCATTAATGATGATAATTCTCCCTTGAGCGTTATATATATATAATTTTGAAGAGAATTCTGCATTTGACTGATATCGAAATACAGTTTTTACAATTGCAAATCGATCAATACTAATCCATCTATCTATCTATCTCAATTAAACTGAATATCCTTCAAACTGCGCCTTTTTTTTACAAACATTATGAATCAGTTGACAATAATTATTTTTCTTTTCAATTTCTATACTCGATTATATTTAACTTTTATTCACTGTATTGGAAAACTATTATCATCTCTTCTTTAAGTTTCAAGTATCTATCAATTAATATAAAATTACCGAGATTCTATTCTTATCTCCTAAATGTATTTATCACTAAGTTCTCTTGTAAAATACTGTGAATATTTTATGATCAGTTAGGATGAAATAATTATTTTAACATTAAACGGAATAATTTAGCCAGTGTAGTAAAACAAATACGTACGTTTTGTTAATGATGATTTCATCATGTTTGATAATTTACAACATAAGAATAAGTAAAGTACAGTGATGTTGATGCTAATCAGAATATCTTCTAAAATTTATAGGATGCTAATGTCGTGAAGGTTTACCAAAAAATTTGTTCAAGACTTGGATTTCAGAGCTTATCAATATTAAATAATATATGATTGATTAATAAAATATCCGTACAAATAAATCTGAATTTTACAACACGAACAATAGTGGCTATTCAAAAACGAAATAGACCGTCCGGAATTTTCTCGCTTATACATAGATTGAGGATACGAAATATAAGAATATATATATATATATATATAAGAATCAAAGCGATCATCATCTTGGTTTACAGTAATATTCAAAATTTGTTTGGTTTATTGAATGTATTTAAAAAAACTAAATGCTACGACTGTACACATCTGCATATTGATGACCATTGAAGACATACAACGAAGTAAATAATTCAGTTTCCTGTAAAATCTTATTCGGTTTGTTAAAAACATTTTGAATTTTACATATCAAAAAGTTATGTTAATCCTTTTGAATAATCTTACATTAGGGATCTAGAGAACGTTTGTGACCACGCTATTTTAAGTCTGAAATTATGCTGAACAAAATACTTTCCTCAAAGTTATGCCAACTATACAGCTCATGTTACTGGATGGTGTCAGTGACAATTACTAATCATTCAAATAGCGTTTCTACTTTTGTATCATCATACAATTTGCCCCTACTTTCATTCATCCTAGTGATGAGAGTTTTATGTAGATTGTTGATTTCGTAGTTTTATATCAGCAACTGATTTGAACTGATTAACCACTGAAAACACGAAAATAGTGAACTAATCTATTTAATATATTTGTTCTACATTCTAACTACTTGAAAACTTTTTCAGTCTCTAGTTTCCTGTGTAATTTGTCTACAAGTTCCAGTCTGCCTAATAGATAGAGTGCTTGTGATCTGATAAAATGTACCTGAACATTCTATTTCATTAGAATTTGTGATAGCTATTTATTAGTGCAAAACATTGTTGACACAAAATAGTTTTTCTTTCTTGAACTTCTTATACTGTTGATTATTAAGAAAAGTTTTAATGGAACAATGTGTCAATAAATTTTGATTCGAAACTGAGGTTTATGTTATTTTCCTATTCAGATCGAATTGTTTTCATTTAACTTTGTAATTGGATGAATAATTCGATGATTTATACACAATCAAGTTTTATGATAAATATTCTGAATGAAATTCTTTGTTAAATCATTCTACAAATAAATCAAATTCTCAAGGTAACAACACTTTGGAGAAATGTTGACATTCTGTTAAATAGGTTAATATTGTCTTCAACTTTAACAGCTTCCAAATGACCAATGGTCTTCCAATACCGTATAATATATATATATGCTATTATTGATCGCCATAGAAGGACCCTATAGAACGTCTTATCATTTCTAAACAAAATGTATTCAAGCGTAAATCGTCGAAATCAGCAAAATAGCCACATACATTCATCAATCCATCCATCTATACACATATGCACACTCTTACGTTGCCCTAAAGTTTTAACCTGAACAAAGAGTAACGAGTATGCAACTAATCTTTTAATGGACACATACATGCATATTGGTTTATAAAAGTAAATCTTAGCATTAAACAGTTTTTCTTACAACTCTTTTCTCAAATAATTCTTTTTACTTCTTTGCATATTAAATAAGGTTGACATAGAATTCAATTAGTAATCAGTTGAAAAATGAAAACTTTATTTAATTAATCAATTGTTTTTGATTATATATCTCTTGATTTTTTGTTTTTAGTGGCCGAAAAAAATAAAATTAAAAATCAGATATTAAGATGATTAAGAAAACGTTTGTTTTTTCTTCTTTTCTCAAAAGTTACTGAATTGGAAGATTGTGATTTTTAAATTGCTTTTTCTTCTGTGAAATATAGTGAGATTTTGAAAAGAACACTTTTATATATCACTTCTACATGTCAACATTTTTTTTCAAATTAACGGTGCTTTAGTTTCATCTCTGAGTGTATAATTTGTGCACATAATATGTATGCTTTCATCAAATGTAAAGCTATTAGCTGTGAATTCTCATGATTGAAAAAAGGAGTTAGGATTATTTGAACGAACATTTTTCTGACAATGGGATGCAGTTATTTTTTATCTACAAGTTTGAATAGTGCTCCGAATAAAACGATACAGATCAGTAGTATAGCAAATTTAAATATATGTCTTGTTACATTGTTTTAAAATTAATCTTAATCTTAATTATAAATTAACTGGTAGGCTTTGTTTTATCACTCGTCTTCTGATTGTTTTAGAAGTACGTTTATTATCAATCATTGTGGTTGTTAGAAATCTATCATTAATGTCAGCTCAAGATGGTTTTTTAGTCCTGACTGGAAATAGGAATTCAGACCACTTTAGATCAGGCCAGTGGTGTAACAATAACTCGTTTGCCTTTATGCACAAATTTCTATATACATTGTATATATTTGGTTGAAACAGTTGCTGATGTTCATTGTTTTGTTAGTGAATCCTCCATTGACTACGTTCAAATTCATGATTTACTCCTCTTTTATTGACACTTCATTTTATATATGCATCAAAAAGTAGAAGAGAGAATTACCGTTGAAAACCTCCTCACATGAGTTATTTCATGAATTCACACATCTGTAGTTCAAACGTTCCAAGACTTAAAGTTTCAAAAGTGTTATTGATGTAGCATGAAACAGGAGAGTAGCATTGTGTACAATCGATAAAAATACCACGAAATTAGTGCTATAACGATAATAAAAACGTTTTTAATGTGAACTAATAACAATAAACTTAGAAACTGTGGAAAAAGTAACCACGCAAATTTACACTTCACACTTTCGGCATCATTGTAAATGATGATTCAGTTAGTATTATACTGAGTCAAATATCTTTCATACAAATAAAATTGTAGAGAGTTTATAAATCATTAAGTTTTGTTATTAGGCATTTTCGAGAATTTTTTCGTTCATTTTTTGAGTGAGTGATCCCACTAAGAGTAAACGTTTTACTGAGGATATCATTCCAAATTTTATTGATTTGCTTTATGCAAATTTAAGCATAAGGTTTTATTACTTCATCCAATGATATTCATATTCTATATGGATTAGTTGCATTTTAGATCCAAACTACTCATTTGTTTTGCTTTGTTTCGAAGTATTGTATGATGAATATACATTTTAAAAGATGTTCAAGTCTTCAAACATTGATATTAATAATGATTTCCATGATATAGTGGGTAGCTATTTGTGAAGTGAACGGTAAATGATATTTTAAAAAATAATGA